TTCCTGCTGTATTTCCGACCTCCTATCCTCTAAGCGCTGAGCGACGCACTCTTCCCTTCCCTGGTGAGCTCGCCACCTCTTTTCCTATCACATCCTCTATTCTCCACATAAACTCCCACCTCATATGGGGTGCCCTTTCGCGTCTGGTTAACAGGCCTCTTCACCATAAACTAGACGACGGTTGGCCTGAGAGCGAGAAAGGTGATTGTCAAGCAATTCCGAGTAAGACTTCTTTATACAATCTGTTATTGAGTAAGAAGTTGCAAAGAAATTAGATCTAAATATGAAGAGAAAAGATACGTAGAAAGCGAGAGAAAGAGAGGGCGGATGTGAAGGAGTGACAGTGTGGACGCGCAGGTGTGATATAGATGTGCAGATGTGTGGGCGCGTGGAGGTAGAGAGGCGCGGATGTGAGCGTGTGAAGACGGTGTGTAGACGTAGATGCGCAGACGCAACGGCAGCGCAGCGTTGTGCGTCAGGAGCGCCAACCTTGGTGCATTTCTCGCTGCGCAAGCACAACGCTGAAGAGGTTCGAATCAAACTGATATAAAGCACACCAGCGACACGCCGCGTTTACACCAGCGTGTTTCGCGCTCCCCGGTGGCACAGCGCCACGCAAACGCACTTTCCACCAAGGCCGCGCAAATCCGCATGGCACTGCGACATCACGGACGTAATTCACCACACGGTGTGCCCACACACTAGAAGCAATCCTATCACACGATACCGCCAATCATCCCCCTCACCAGCGACACGCCGCGTCTACAGCATGTTTCGTGCTCCGCAGTGGCACGGCGCCACGCAAACGCACTTCCCACCAAGGCCGCGCAAATCCGCATGGCACTGCAACATCACGGACCACACGGTCTGCCCACGCACTAGAAGCAATCCTATCACACGATACTGCCAATCATCCCGCTCACCAGCGACACGCCGCGTTTACACCAGCATGTTTCGCGCTCCTAGTGGCGCGGCGCCACGCAAACGCACTTTCCACCAAGGCCGCGCAAATGCGCATGGCACTGCGACATCATGAACGTAATTTCGCCACACGTTCTGCCCACACGCTACAAGGAGTCATATCACACGATACCGCCAATCATCCCGATCACCAGCCACACGCCGCGTTTACACCAGCATGTTTCGCGCTCCCCAATGGCACGGCGCCACGCAAACGCACTTGCCATCAAGACCTCGCAAATCCGCATGGCACTGCGACATCACGAACGTAATTCGCCACACGGTCTGCCCATCAATATCACACGATACCGCCAGTCATCCCGCTCACCAGCGACACGCCGCGTTTACACCAACGTGTTTCGCGCTCCACAGTGGCACGGCGGCGCGCAAACGCACTTTCTACCAAGGCCGCGTATATCCGCATGGCACTGCGACATCACGGACGTAATTCGCCACACGGTCTGCCCGCACACTAGAAGCAATCCTATCACACGATGCCGCCAATCATCCCCCTCACCAGCGACACGCCGCGTTTACAGCATGTTTCGCACTCCCCAGTGGCACGGCGCCACGCAAACGCACTTCCCACCAAGGCCGCGCAATCCGCATGGCACTGCAACATCACGGACGTAATGTCGCCATGCGGTCTGCCCACACACTAGAAGCAATCCTATCACACGATACCGCCAATCAGCCCGCTCACCAGCGACACGCCGACGCCGCGTTTACACCAGCATGTTTCGCGCTCCCCAGTGGCACGGCGCCACGCAAACGCACTTTCCACCATCTCTGCTCATCTTCACATCTTCACAGGCTCACATCTGCACATCTACATTTACATCTTCACAGCTGCACATCTACATCATCACTGCGCATCTACATCTCTGCTCATCTTCACATCCTCACATCTACATCTCTGCTCATCTTCACATCCTCACATCTGCACATCTCACATCTTCACCTCTCGCTCTTCTTTACTTTCTCTCTTAAGGCCGGGGGCGGTACCACCGGAGCACCACGAAACGCACCACGAAATGCAGGTGAGATTGCGTATTGGCCCTGTCCGGCGCAACCCTCTGTGGAGATCGCGCGCGTCGAGGGCGCGAAATGCAGGCGAGATTGCGTTTTGGCCCTGTCCGGCGCAACCCTCTGCGGAGATCGTGCGTGTCGAGGGCGCGAAATGCAGGTGAGATTGCGTTTTGGATTTGCCCAGCGCAACCCTCTGCGGAGATCGTGCGTGTCCAGGGCGCGAAATGCAGGTGAGATTGCGTTTTGGATTTGTCGCGGGCGACCCTCTGCAGAGATCGTGCGTGTCGAAGGCGCGAAACGCAGGTGAGATTTGGATTTGTCCGGCGCAACCCTCTGCGGAGATCGTGCGCGTCGAAGGCGCGAAATGCAGGTGAGGCTCCACTTTTGCAGGAAGTCTTGTACGAAACGCTCGTTTTGGAGACTTGGCGCTTCACTTTTGGAGGAAGTCTCGTACGAAACGCTCATTTTGGAGACTTGGCGCCTCACTTTTGAGGAAGTCTCGTACGAAACGCTCATTTTGGAGACTTGGCGCTTCACTTGTGGAGCTGGGCTCAGACCTGGCCAGTTTGTAGTGCAAATGTAGTGCGGGAAAGAGCTTTTCGGAGCTGGACTCAGAAGTGGCCAGTTTGTAGCACATTAAAAATAGTACGGGAAAGAGCTTTTCGGAGCTGGACTCAGAAGTGGCCAGTTTGTAGTCCAAGTGTAGTGCGGGAAAGAGCTTTTCGGAGCTGGACTCAGACCTGGCCAGATTGTAGCGCAAATGTAGTACGGGAAAGAGCTTTTTGGAGCTGGACTCAGCAGTGGCCAGTTTGTACTACATGTAGTACACATGTAGTACGGGAAAGAGCCTTTCGGAGCTGGACTCAGAAGAGGCCAGTTTGTAGTACAAATGTAGTCGGCTCGTACGAGACTTCCTCCAGAAGTGAAGCGCCAAGTCTCCAAAACGAGCGTTTCGTACGAGACTTCCTCCAAAAGTGGGGCGCCAAGTCTCCAAAACGCGCTCTCACCTGCATTTCGCGCCTTCGACACGCACGATCTCCGCAGAGGGTTGCGCCGGACAAATCCAAAACGCGCTCTCACCTGCATTTCGCACCTTCAACACGCACGACCTCCGCAGAGGGTTGCGCCGGACAGGGCCAAAACGCAATCTCACCTGCATTTCGTGCCCTCGACGCGCACGATCTCCGCAGAGGGTTGCCCGCGACAAATCCAAAACGTAATCTCACCTACATTTCGTGCCCTCGACGCGCACGGTCTCCACAGAGGATTGCGCTGGACAGGGCCAATACGCATTCTCACCTGCATTTCGCGCCCTGGACACGCACGACCTCCGCAGAGGGTTGCACTGGACAAATCCAAAACGCAATCTCGCCTGCATTTCGCGCCCCCAGCACGCACGATCTCCGCAGAGGGTTGCGCCGGACAGCCAAAACGCAATCTCACCTGCATTTCGCGCCCTCGACGCGCGCGATCTCCGCAGAGGGTTGCGTTTCGTGGAGCTCCGGCGGCACCGCCCCCGGCCTTAAGAGAGAAAGTAAATAAGAGCGAAGATGTGAGATGTGCAGATGTGAGGATGTGAAGATGAGCAGAGATGTAGATGCGCAGATGTGAAGATGAGAAAATGTAGATGTGCAGTGATGATGTAGATGTGCAGATGTGAAGATGTGAACGTGTAGATGCGCAAATGTGAGCATGTGAAGATGAGAAAATGTAGATGCGCAGTGATGATGTAGGTGTGCAGATCTGAAGTGTGAACATGTAGATGCGCAGATGTGAGCGTGTGAAGATGTGAAGATGAGCAGAGATATAGGTGAAAACGTAGATGTGCAGAGGTGAAGATGTGAAGATGTAGATGAGACGTAGTTCTGCAGATATTTTTTTACGAAGAACCCTTCGCAGACGCTCTCGGGAAAAAGACACCCCCAAGCAACTCAAAGCTTGCCCACTGCATTCCGTTCCCTCTCCTGCCCTCAACGGATTACATCATTTCTTGCAGTCCCTTCCACTCATATTAGCCACGTGTTGGGAGACGCACAAAATCCCTTTCCTGAAGGAGTTCCAACCACTTCCACCCTGGTAGAAGACTATTTAAACAACCACTTTTCGCGTCCCGTTCTCGCCCCTTTCCTGTCCTCGACATGAACACATGAACTCCCACCCCTGGTAGAAGACTGTTTAAATTGCCTCCTGAGCCCCTCATGATGCTAATGATGCACTCTTCGACGTGAATTATATACATAACTTGCATCACAACACCCCAAAAACCATGCATGTTCATTTTTCGCTCTCCCCCACCAGGCTCTGGGCTCGCCCTACCAGATTGGCCCTCTATGCTAAGCCGGTTCGCGAGCGTTGCTTTGCTAAGGGGTATACTTTCGCGACCCCGCAGGAAAAACGGTAAAAAAAGAACATTTTCGATTTTTACCATTTTTACCGCGGATATGGTAGAGAAAAAAGGGGCGCCCCCCCCCCCCCGGTAAAAACGGTAAAAATAGAAAAATTTCGATTTTTACCGTTTTTACCGCGGATACGGTAGAGAAAAAAGGGGCGCCCCCCCGGTAAAAACGGTAAAAAGAGAAAACTTTCGATTTTTACCGCTTTTACCGCGGATATGGTAGAGAAAAAGGGGCGCCCCCCCGGTAAAAACGGTAAAAAAAGAAAACTGTTGATGTTTACCGTTTTTACCGCGGATATGGTGGACAAAAACCGGGTGCCCCTGCCCCCGGGGAAAACGGTAAAGAAAAAAAATCGAGTTTTACCGTTTTTACCACGCGGGTGCCTCGGATTAACCCCGTAACCCCGGCAACTACGCTAAACCAGCACAGCCTCTATGCGACCACCCCCCTAATACTCACTTCATTCGCCCATCGACAACTCCATCCTAGCCTATCGGCTGGCTTTCGTAATAAAACCACAACATCCTACCTCCTATGCCCTCCCTACCGAAGGAACATGTCTACGGTCCCACCAGAGAGCAAAGGTGAGTGCATCACCAACGTCGACCCAGGTGCCTGCTTGAGCTCATAGATTGGAACCTGCTTAATGATGTCCACCTCATCGGGCCACAAGAAGTATATAAAGCTCAATCTGTGAATATGGCAGTCTATCTTGGTGAGAAAGTGTTGTATGGATGGATCATCCCAACTTTCAGCCATTTGGTGTTCTACACTCAGCTTGGAAGCTGAACAAAGTAGAAAACCTTTACGCTTACGAGGCTTACCCATTTGCAAAATCCCAAAGTATGTGCGCTTTGAGTGGAGCCAACGAAAGGGCACGTTCAAATGGGCATGTTGAAGAGCAATAAAATGGAAACGGAACGAAGATGAATCGTACCAGCGACTGGAATGGAAAGAAGTGAGACTCCACTGCTGATCAAAACGAGTGGCCCTGGGTAAAACGGTAATATCTCACTGCATCTTCCAGATGTTAATATCTACATGTCTATGCTCTTCTCTTTTTTAGGTCTAGCTAGCTCTTTAGACTAAGGATTTACACACTAATTGAAGGTGCCAGCAGCTGAGTATGAACGGATCTCCGAGAGTTGGCAAAGCAAAGCATGGACTCATCGATGCCAAATGGACGTTCAGATCAGCTCTTGAGAGAATCGGCACCTGCTCCAGCACTGGAACCTCCACTAACTCTTCCTTCACGGTCGTGACAGGCACTTCCACCGGTTGTTCCACCACCTGCACTGAGTCCGAAAGCTGAAACCCTTTATATACATATATATAGGGTTACCTGCCAGAGTCAAAGACAAGAACCCACAAAACCTCTGGGTTCTTTGCCCTGACTGACCACTCTGACTGCACAAAACACAGAATGGGATCTCAAGCCCTGACCATGATTCTACAGGGCACCGGGCCATCACTAAGAAACTGCAAATTCGCTTTCGTGACAAGCGGCCGGAATCATGCAATTTGCTGACAAGCTCCCAGGATCATGTTTGTAATTACTGGAGGAGGTATGTAGCCAATGGATCTAACAAAACTAACTCAAAATCTGGAGGCCAAAACTCTGGATCCATTTTTGAAGATTTGTCCGTTCTCCGCGCAACTTTCTCTGTGCTTTCTTCTCGCTGGCCACTTCCCCGCTTCTTTCGCCTTTACCACTGGCCGCTCCACCAGCTTTTGAACCTTTTTCACTACCTGACAAAAAGAAGGTCCCCAAACGCAGGTGCTGCTCAGTATGAATCAGAGAGCAAGTCTGGCGCCAGCAGAAGGAAAATTTCTAGGATGGCTCCAATGAAGAAGTTGATCAGTTCAATCGAATGATTAGAGAGGCATTTAGATCGTGCCGCGGTTGATCCAGCTCAAGGCCAAAATGGTTTAGAATCAGGGGTTGCTTTGCTTGAATCTCTGGAAAACGGAGAAAAACACAAAACATAGAATTCTAGTTGAGTTCAGTGTATTGTTGCTAAGAAAAGTAGGCTGTTGATCTCCCTCACTGTCGCCCAGCTGGCCTCTTTGGACACCTCTCGGATGAGCTCGATGCATTGCACCTGGGGCACTTCCACCAAGCACTCCTGCCCAGCTGTTCGTACATCACGGTGGTTAACAGCAGAGTCGGTTCTTAGGGCTAGAAGATTGCAATGGAAAGAAACAACGCCTCAGCTCGCTTCCTCCTTCTCCCAAAAGGTTTTCTAAAAACAAGGAGAGAATAGATAATTATGTTGGCCAATTATGGAGACAAAATCCATCACCTGCAAAAACTATTGGTTGAACCTCCGAAGTTGGATTTGGGTGGGTGGGTGGGTGGGTGGGTGGGTGGGTGGGTGGGTGTGTTTGCTAGATTGCAAATTCCGCAAGCATGTCCCAGGTATGACGTATGACACCAAATGCTGTCTGTGAACAAATGTGCAACCCTGTACACACAAATGGAATTTTAAAAAACGAAGATACAATGTGATATAATCATATAATCGCTGCTAGTAACAAGGGCATCGCTACTAGTAACAAGAAGCTACTAGTAACTAGGGCATTACGTACAATGTGATACAGTCCTTTTCCTTTTCAACCTGAGGTTTGCTTCGTTCTCACCGCACCTTTCTGGCCCCTTGGCCGCTCGAAGACTCGAAGGTGTTGTATGTGTTGATGTGAAACTTTGTATGTACGCCATACGAACCACTGACGAAAGGAGCAAAAAACCAGGCAACAACGAAACGATCGGAAAACCAGGCTTCAGGCAACAATGACATCACACATGCTTGCATTCAATCAATGAGTTATCCATCAGACACTAATTACCATTTTATTGTGCCACTCGGCGCAAACCTAATCTGGATACGGACTTGGGATCTTGTCCCAAATTTTATTGTGTCTGACCTTGTTCGCGAGTGCCGCTCGCTGCTCAAAGGTTATCTCAGTAAGCGCTGTTTGTGGCCAGAAAGGTTTCATCTTTGGTATATCAATTGGTCAGTCACTATGAAGTGGAGAGAGAGATCAGGGATCATCAGGGTCAGTGATTCAAAGTTGTGCAAGTTCATTTTGTTGGATAAGGGCAATGCCAAAGGAATGTCTTGGACCAAATCCAAGTTGCGAAAGCCTTTTGACTCTATTTTCTTGTCTTTGCGTAGTAGTCTAAATAAACAATAACCAATGTCGCAATGCCTCACTTTGTTTGCAGAGTGAGGGGTCTTGGGCGGCAAAATTGCAATGAGTGCATGGTCAATTGGATTGCCATGGGGTGGCCCTATCGGGATGGATGTCCCTGGAGCAAAGACTGGGTGGGCTCAATAAATGTGAGAATAGCATGTTTTAAAGAGCGTGGGGAAAAACGTGGCGCTGAGCGCACGGGTTCCCGATAAGATATCACAATTTCGATCAAGGAAATAAATACTGAATTTTTGGGATTGACCGGCTGTTCTCCCGGCTGCCATTCGATTTTCATCATAACATCCCACACCAAAAGGCCGGGCTATCAAGAAGAAAATAAATATATATCAAAAAGAACATTGTCTATATCCTATCAAAAAGAAAATTAATTAGTATCAAAAACAACATATCCTTTCACAAAGAGCTGCGCCTTCCACTGCGAACCGCCTTGGCAGCGCTGCGCGATGTGAATCTGGATGTGCAGATTTCGTGGCAGGCGCAGCACTTTGAGCGCCTTCAGTAGCAGATTTCGTGGCAGGAGCGGCACATTTCGTGGCAAGCACAGCACTTTGAGCACCTCCAGTGGCAGGTTTTGTGGCAGGAGTGGCGCTTTGCGCACTGGAACTGCAGATTTCGTGGCAGGCGCAGCACTTTGAGCACCTTCCGTTGCAGGGCTTGTGGCAGGCGCAGCACTTTGTGCACTGGAACTGCAGATTTCATTGCAGGCGCAGCACTTGAACCTCGAAGTGCAGATTGCGTGGCAGGCGCGGCTGCTCACAAAACAAAGGCTTGGAACGTTGGAATGGCAACTTCTTCCTCTAAATTTTACCTCGCAGGGCTAACAAAAAGTCTGCAACGTTGGAATGGTTCCTTCTTCTAAATTTTGCCCTCAAGTGGCTGACAAAAGGTTTGCTACCTTGGAATGGCACCTTCTTCATTCAAATTTTACCGTCAGGGTGGCTCACAAAAAAGGTCTGCTACGTCTGGTGATGAAAGGTCTGCCACACTGCTTCACAGGATGTATGACCAGATTTCCAAATCACCTTGAACGCGTCTTGCGTCGAAAGTGCATACCCAAGGACCCGAAGACCAAGACGAAGCACCAGAGGATGAGAGGACCAAGCGACCAGAGGACCAAGGGACCAGACAACCAACGGACCAGAGGACCAAGGGACCAGAGAGCAAGGGACCAGAGGACCTAGCGATCAGGGAACAGAGGACCAAGGGACCAGAGGAGCAAGGGACCAGAGGACCAAGGGACCAGGGGGAACAAGGGACCAGCGGACCAAGGGACCAGGACAAAGGGAGCAAAGGACCAAGCGATCAGGGAACCAGCAGGCCAGGACCAAAGGAGTAGAGGGAATTTTCTTTTTGATACAAATTAATGCTTTTTGATAGGAAACAAGTTTTTTATTGATAGGAATCAATTTTCTTTTTGATAGGTATCCCACACCAAAAGGCATAAAGTTCTGCCCACCATGTCATTGAATTCTCCAAGTTTGACCAACTGCACTGCCTGGAGCCATCCAGTGCTCCTGCTCCAACAAGAAGGGCAGCTCTTGGATTTGCTCTCGTGCCTCGAAGATTGGCAGCTCGATGGGTTTCTCCACCTGGTGCGCAGGCACTGCACTCCGGCACTTTCACGAACTGCACGCGAAAACATTGCAAACGCAGCCAAAAACCGTTGACTGAAAGCCCGATCAATCGTGCAAAACATGGAAGGGTTTTTAATACAACCCTCCAAAAAACTTGCCCGGCAATGATGTAGTGGCTACGTAGTCTTCACGCCAGTCGCTACATGTTTCTGCAAATCTGAGAGCGTCTAGTGATGGCCATGGTTTCTCGTCAATCTCTGGACTCATCCCCGATGAACTACGCAATGGAGAATTGGCTCACGGCGGCGCCTCCAAATACTCTACACGCGGCACTTGTTTCACCTGGCACAAGGTTGTTTCTTTAAAAACCTGTTCCTACTTAATTAACTAGGCGCCTACTTAATCAAGAAAAATTGCATTACCAGCTACTTAAGTTTCTAGTCACTGGACGCAGGATAGTTCACACTTCTTCAAGGAACTTCCCCCCGCATGAGGGTAGGGAGAGTTTCCTTGAAGAAGCGTTCGCGCTAATAACTTGGTTCGTGATGTTTAGGCAAAGTAACATATGGCCAAGTGTTGTAGGTGGCCCGATCTTCAAAAAATGAGCACTAAGTCGGGCCCTGGTGACCTGTGGAGACAGTTCGGGCTAAGAGTGAAAGTCGCGCATTGCAACCTGCTGGCTTCTCTTGATTGCGCAGTCCTTTTTGAACACAATCTATTCTGGGTAGGAAACACCCAGGACCCAGTGGAATTGGAGACGTGGAATTATGTATACATATATCTATATATGTATATATACAAGGTCTCAACTCACTCATTCTCAACTTTTTATCAACCATCAGGCAGGATTTGTACACACGGGCGCCTGCCTTCAAGGTCCACAATTTCGACCCTGGAGGTCAGGCAGGAACAGGCCAGCTGAGGGGGCACAGTTTGAAGATCAAATGTCAACCATGACGCTCTTAGTGCGCAAGAGCTCAACTCGCTCATTCTAAACTTTTGTCAGCCATCGGCCGGATTTGTACACACGAGCGCCTGCCTTCAAGGTCCAACATGTCGACCGGACCTTGCCATTGTATCCTCAGCGTCCCAGCTGGCCAAGCCGAAGGTAGTATGCCAGCTGTTGTTGCCCTCTCAGAGAGGACAAGGAAGCTAGAAAGGTGTGAGCCACGAAGAGTATCTTCTGTTTCGTCAGCGCGTTCAGATTTACCAGACATTGTACAGCGGCGGGGGCAACTTCTTGAAGGTATATCGAGAGAACTTGGATTATCCACCTGCCGGCGGCGAAAGGACTCAGAGTCTTCTGTGACCTGGAAGAGCCAAGTGGCTCCCCCAGGTCAGTGGCTCCCCCAGGTCGCAGCGATCCCAAATCCAGCGTTCAGCCGCGACAACTCAAGCGCCTGCAAAGGGACTTAAACCGATTGCATAATGTCTGATCCATAGTTTTTGATCTGGGCGAAGGTGTTCAAACGCCATATCAACCTTGGCTGCCTGGCGCAGAAAAACAAGTCGTTGGCTCGTAGCAATTCTTAGCACCAGCGTCACCTTAAGTTGCCCCTCAATCCTCCAACAACCAACACACCAACACGCAACAGCGCTCCAAAGCTCAGCACCGACATACCTGCAACCCTCGGCCACCCCCAGGAAATGGCCACGCGGTAGTGGTCTTTTGTCCCTCATCCATGGACTGCAGGCGCCTTGAGACACACCTGCGATCTTGCTTGTTGGCCGACGCCATTGGTTGTTTCACTGTATAGTGTATGGCATGGTCGGCCCCCAGCTCTACCAAACTCCTGCAACACGTTGTCAATGGTGTCCACAAAAACTGAATGCCTTTCCAACAAGACTTCCACGTTATGTCCGGGAATATTCACCGAAAGGCTCACGCAAGGCAGATCCGAACTGCTGCATTGCGGGGTCTCAGCGCGCCACGGGCGGCCATGATGTGAAACATCGTGGCCCTAGGAGCCTCGACCTTTGGGGGGACCCACCAACCCGAAACCGAAAAGGAGAAAGAGCAAGGAGAGAAAAGGCGGCGCCAGAGGCATGGCAAAGACAAGGCAATCAACGCGACCAAAGTTGACAGGAAGAAAGCCTCCAAAGACCAGGCAAATTCCATGAAGTGCAGAAAGCGCTCAAGGCCCGGCAAGGAATGAAATCTACAGGAGAAGAAGCGTGGCAAGCAGACTCAAATCCACGGCCCTTCAGCACAGGGCGGCTGTCAAATTCAAACTGAGGAAGAGATAAGCAATCCTCACCCAGTTTGAAGCCCATCCAGTTGGAGGCGCGCTTTCGCATCATCAGCAACATTGGAGGTGGTATGCATCAAATGAAACAGTAGAGTATAAGAGTCCTTCAGCCAAGCAAGCTGCAGCGTGTCTACAGAGGTACGACGACAACACCAAAGCCAGTGATGATGACCTTCCCTCTGACGCTACGCCTCAGGACATTCGAGCCAACTCTACACCTTTTTGGCAGAGACGCAGCGCTAACGTGTAGACAGAGTTGCAAGCCAAAGCTTGGTACACTTCTCATCTTCTGCTTAAACACAGGTGACTCAGGGCAATCTTGTTTGCGAGCTGGTACTCCAATCCGGCAACGGAAACATCATCTTAGCCTCTTGATGCCAGCCTCCAAACCCATTCGAAGAAACCACCTCAAACTCCAACACGGTTTTGACAAAGTCCCTCATCTTCCTAAAGGTGACCCCATTTCTCATCCTCAGGGATGGAGCGCATGATATGCCCGCTGAGGCCTTTTCTCACAAAGTGAGCTGGAACAAACAAGGCCATCCCTGCCGCACATACGTGCACAAGCGTCGACTTTGTAACCATGTGATTTGTAGAGGGGAAATTACTTCCTCGTTATGCAGTGCCCTGGTCGAATGAGCCAAAGCCCTAGCCAAATGCGTAGTACAGGTAGCTGATTGAAGAGGACACGACCCTGTCCCAAAACAAACATGAGTGCGATCACCGCGGCATAGATTCTGGCCCAAAACCCTCCTGTAAAAGACCAGCTTCCTGGAGAGATCACTGGAAGAGGCCGAACGCCTCAGCAGAAGCAGCCCTTGAGCCCACAACAAATGGATGTGAGTTGATGCCTCGACCAGTTCGCAGTCGTCAAGGACTGAGACAGCAGAAGCACATCCAGCCACAGCTCATGCATGTAGTCCGAAATGCAAGAGACAATCGGTCCAAGCTCTCAATCAAACGATTGGCGTCGCTGTGCGTGTGTGACTGGCTGACTCATGCAAGTAGTGACGGAGACGCTTGCGGAAGAGGAGGACATTGAAGCCTCAAGCAGCCCTGAAGATTGAGCTGCAGCAGGAGCAGGAAGTGGTGGAGACCTGTGCACCGGTGATGAATGCAAAGTTCAAGGTGAATGCAGCCAAACCCACAGTCCAAGGGCGAGAAGAAGGCCCAGAAGAATGCCAGCCAGGAGCCAAGGCGAGCAATTAACAGGATAGGAGAACCACCACGAAACCTCCGATAGAGGCTCAAACCTTCCAAAACCCTACCCAACATGCATAGCTTGAGGATCACATGTCGACCGTGTCGCTCTTACTGTGCATTGTATGCGTATATGTATTGGAGAAGATTAAGAAGGTTCAATATCATCGCTCAATTGATGATTGAAGCCCACCAGTTCACACTGAAAACATCTTGAAACCTCGAAGTACTCTCAAGTGCCTAAAATGAGATCGTGTGGGCTTTTGAGTCCAAGAGTTCAGCCATACGTTCAAACGCCCAGGCACGAGCTCATCCTCAAAGATTTCAGGAACTTCCATGATCCTCCTCAGAGATGCTCTCGCATCCGTGTGTGTGTGGGTGCGTGCGATTTGAGTTTACACTTCCTTGGTCCTTGGTGATTGAAGCACCTACAAAGCGACTCATAGAGGAACAATCCGCGCGAATCAAACAGCAGAAGAGTTGGTGAATCTGATTGAGGCGTTGGTGGTGTCGGCGCAGGGAAGCCGGAAGTGGACGGTAAGACATGTGGCCCAAAAAACTGCGCAGGTCACTCAACAAGTAAAGCCAAAAAGATAGAGGAACAATTGTCTTTGTGGTATCTGTCTCTAGAGAAAATAAACAAAACAACATACATGTTACCCTAGTGTTTGTTGATGTTTGTTGGAACGGAATAATTCAAACATCGCTAAACAGCCGGGCCTTGAAAATGTTCAGAAACCTCTGAGACAACTCACGGACAACTCGTGCACTAAGAAGATAAAGCTCCTGGTAACGCCCTTTAGAATGACTGCCTCTATGGAAAGCATGTACCAGCACTGCAGCGCTAGGTGTCCAGACTCGTGAAGGAGAACTTGTGGAACCTCGACCAACCTTTCTTTCACTTCCACCTGGGACATGCGGTAGAGACATTGAAACCATCCTATGGCCAAGCACGTAGCTGAAGAAGATCGAAGGAGCACAGGACAAAGCACCACAAAGGGCATTGATTCCCACAAGCTGGAATGCTACTCTCATCAAGCCCAAGTTTCTGACGACAATGATTTCATAAAAAGGTGTTTGTAGGTACTTTGAAAAGGAAAATCCTCGTATTGGAACTCTTCTTGATGCTCACGATCTTGACTGAATTTAGACCTTATATTATTGAACATGTTAAAGCCAGGGAGCCTTCATCCGACCAGCTCCACTTCTCGTGGAGCCCGGCTGGAGCCCGGGCGGAGAGGTTGCAAAGGACGACAAACAAATCCTACAGTAATGCTTTTATATAAGTCTCATTAAGTCTCTTGGGCATCCAAAGGTCCAAAGGGTCCGCTCCACAGTGTGACCTTTGGCACATCCACTGTCTTCTGGACGAACTCCACCTGTGGAGGTTGTGGCACCACCAGCAATGGGTTTTTTTCTCTCCATTGGACGCCCAGAGATCACGTTAAAGGCAGGAATTCATGGTCTGCTTTTCTTTTTTCTTGACTCCAGGTTCGTGAACCGCAGCAATACGCACAAATGCCCAGGGCAATTTCATCTATGTAACTTCAAATGTAGAGGATATTGCAAGTCCCGCTATGCATTCCCGAGCCGGAAACTGCCGCCACCTGAGGCCTTTCTCTGTAGATTGTGTGCAGTTCCCTTTTCTTCACCGGCACCTGCTCGATCGCTGGGTTTACCAGGTGCTCAGTGCTACTCCTCTGTTGAAGAGTTCAAAGGTTTTCAGCAAGGGTTTTGTCATTCGCAGGCTTACAAATTTCGATCAAGTAAAGCTTTCTTCTTTTTCGATGTCCGAATGACAAGTAGCTGTATGGACAACTGAAACACCCGAAAGAATTGGCACAAGTTCTCAAGCAAACCGAAACATACATGCTTACAAAAAGACTCTGAAAGCTTGTCCACGTCTAAAGCGACAAGAAGCACGGCTCTCTCCGCTCCCTAGCCGACCTCGCGAACAACCTCTTGTATCACCTCTCAGGTCAGTTGAAGCCGTTTGACAGCTTTAACCGCCGTTTTAAGTTTCATCTATATATAGTGACTTTAAATGACCTCAGGAGTGAATAGACAAGCAAACAACCAACCAAGTCCACGAGAATTCTCAAGGAGAATGAATCTCCAGTCCAGGAGTTAAACTCTGGAACCTGGCTTTCCTATGCAAAGGCAGCGGTCGATACGATCCCGAACGACATCCAACGGCCAATGCACCTTTTCTCTGGTTCTTGAGCCAAATCAGGTTGGCGTCCACAGTGCAACGGCAAAGCCGATTACCGATGATGCAAGTCTTTACACGACAATTCCTGTCCTGGATAAGTGTTCCTAGACATCAACTATACATGACGTGTCATCTATACATGAAGTGTGCAACCTCACTCAAGCTCAGTTCTTCTTGGGGACGTTTCTAGCTGAGGGATTTCTTCTCCCCCCTCTGACTCCTGAGCTGCTCGACGGCTTGGGATCAGTTCTGAATCCCGGGCTATCCAGCTGGTTCGGAAAGGTTCTGTGGCACACTGTACGGAGGTATTCTCTTCGGCTTGTGTTTCTGCCGTTTCTTGTACCCTGGCTGGGTAGGGCCTGTCGTGCCCTGAGGTCCTGTCGCTACGTCTGTCGTTGGTGTATCTGGCTGCAATGCCATCTGCTTGTCCAGCTTCAGGCCAGTGCCTGAGGTGTGTTTGATGGTGTACCCATCAAGGTGCACTCCAAGGTTTTGGAGGGTTTTAGGCCATAGTGCAGGCTCAACTGCTTTTGTGAAAGCATCGGCTTTCTGGTCGCTTGTTCCAACAAGGCTCAGTTCCACGTCATCGCGATCCAACTGTTCCTTCACTGAAGCCAAACTCACGCGATGTACGCGCTTGAGATGCCTCAGCTTCTTGGAGTATCCAGCAGTCACGACCTTCGCGCATGCAGTGTTGTCTTCGCGAAGCCTCAACAACACAGGACGCCCAAGCATTGCGGAATACAACTCAACCAATGGCAAACCCTCTTCAAAGAGCACATACGACAGTGCGACAGTCTCTGCCTCCGTCGTGCTTCGGCGCGTAGCCGTCTGTTTCTTCGACAGCCATGCCAAAGGAAACGATGTCCGCGGGCCAGACAACTGTAGCCATCCACCAGTGGTACTGTGGGTGTGTTCATCATCTCCGCAGTAGTCTGCGTCTGCGAAAAGTTCAACAAACACATGCTCCGGCGCATCACGCACATGCCCAAGCAACATAGCGTTCTTGGTGCACTCGAGGTAGCACATGGCACGGTACAGGTACGCATCACAAGCTTGCGTCCAGGACTGTACCATGGTTGCCAACCAAGTCACAACTCTCAGCAGGTCGGGGCGAGCAAGGCGTGCCAACCACATCAGTCTCATCAGAATGCTGCTGGCTGAAGATGCCAGAGCACCACGCTCATCTGCTCCAACGAACCCTTTGCTGAGAAACGGTGATGCGACCACCTTCATCTTTGGGCTGTTTGCAACCCTCAAGTACTCTTGAACAGTAGCCTCAGCGTAAGCACGCATGTCAAAGCCAAAGAATTCTGTGTTATCAACCTCGACAGTGGAGTGGTGTCGACCAAGAAAGCGACCCAACGGTCCAATGTCGTCAATCAACACCTTTTCACCCAATGCCTCCCAGAAAGGCTCGTGCCATTGACTTGGTCCTGAGAGAATCAAGTCGTCCACTTAGACAACCAATGCCAATCCTCCGAAGGTATGGATGGTGAAGGTGGATGCAAACTCTTCAACCTTGACTGCTCCTAAGAGACACAACTGTTCTTCAAGAAACTGTTGCCAATGGGCCCCAGCTTCTGGGTGCCCGTATAGCGATTTGCGCAATCTAATGATTGGTCTTTTGAAGCGAGGGTAGCCGCTTGGGGTGAACCAAGACTCAGGCCACAACTCTCTTGGGAGACGGATGTATGTGGCAGCCAAACTTTTCAACTCCGATTGGAGATAAGCCTTGACGGCGTCTGCCGACGACAACTTGTGTCCCTCAAAAAGACCAAAAGAGATAACGCTATTGGCTGCAACTATCGACGCAGGAGACGCAGCTAACGTCTGGTAAAGTGCTAGCTTTCCTTCAGCCGTCTTTGCAGAATCACCACGATAGCACACGCGACCTTTCAGAGCACGAAGCTCTGGAGCCAACTCAACGTGCTTTTCGCTGCAAATCGCAAGCAAGTCTGCAATGTGAATAGTTTCTCCTTTCTTCAATGCAGCCTCCTTCACGCGGAACTCTTCATCAACCGACTCAATCTCCCATGTTCCCATGGAACCAACACCATCGAACTCCTTGCGGGTCGCCTGCAGTGCATCAGGTCGGGACAACACTTCGTTCCGGGTGAGCTGTCTCGTCACCAGGGCATACACCCCAGCCGCAACATCTTCCGGTGGGACATACCCCTCGGGAAGCTCATCAGGAGAGTACTCGGGACCTTCAGTGGCCTCCGGCTCAACCCAATGTTCCTTTTCTACTGCTCCTGTGGTAGAGGAAGAAGATGTTTTTCCTGAACTCTTAGGCATTGGAAGCGGTCCAGGTGTCTTCGGTGCTCCGACATCTGGCGCCGGTGTAGGCGGCGCTGCAGCTTCTCTAGGGAAGATGGCATCAAATCGCTCGCGACATGCCTTGTTGTGGCGATAGTGGCCACCATCACATCCAGGGCAACCCTTCGTAAAACCATGCTCCAACAAACGTGAAAAAGTAATGTATGCATGACGTGGGGGTGCAACTGGGGTATCTTCCGGAAAAGCATCAATGTCAATGTCATATGGGAGCACGCCCGACTCAAGAGATCTGTCATAGATCTTCTTCTTCACCTCAACATCAGGGTCAGACATTTCCTTCAACGCCTTCATTGCCGCGTTGGACAAGGGAAATTCAATGTGCTCAACAGGAGGGAAAAACACCTCCTTCTCATGCAAGTCCTTGGGACTCCAATGCAAATGCGCTCTTGCACGGACAGCTTCATAGTCAACAACTTGTACGACATTGCGGTATCGCAAGCCTGAGTCAACACGCCATCCTGCAAACAAGCCTGGTCTTGTAGTTGGAGCGGCCATTCCATCGCTCTTGGCCCTGTAGAAAACAAGTGCACCAAGAGGGTACTTCACTCCAAGGAAGGGCTCACCTGTGCAAACCTCCCAACGGGTCTTGCCAGTCTTGAGCTCCTCAATCTCCGTCCCACGCTCATGCTTGCGAATCACACAAGGCGACCAAAAGGCACGAGCTTTTGCAGTATAAACAACGGAGATCGGCCACATCTTCTTGCTGCAGCCGGCCTGGAGATGTGCTGGCCTGCGCAACTCTTTCAGCGTCCTCACCTCACGTTCGACGTGGGCCGCGTGAGGCCAATCCCTGGGGATGCTCGGGGATATTGTCCAGCACAGCCTGGATGCCGCTCCGGTCAACTCACCGGCTGCATCTGATTTAAAAATGACACCGGTATCACCGTTCAACCTATGGCCACCGAAGTGTTTCAATGAGTTGTAACAGGATTCTTCTGACCTGTCTCTGGCCGGATAGGCCATGCTCAGACCGGAGAAGAGATCAACGATCACCAGAGCCACCTTCTCCCCAGCGCTGCTCACGCTCTCTTCCGACGGAAACATGTGGTCGGCTTCGAGCACACGACCAAAAGCAGCCGAGCGCTCGTAGGCTTCATCGCTAGAAACAAAGAAGAGAAAACGATCTCACACATGATCTCTGGGTATCTTGCAGTCGTGCTCGTGTTGGAACCTGTGATGGGTGCATGTTTGAAATCAGTACCATGCTTGCAACGACACTCGTTCAGGTTCTTTGCGAGGTTCTCATTTGTTGTTGCCACTCGCCACTTCTTGAGGAACGGTGTGCCCTGCCGATCAACAAGTCCAACTGCACAACCATCAAAATTCACCACTGTCATGCCAATGTCTCGGATGAGCTAGCACAACGCAGCCTGCTGCCAACCCAATGCATGTCTGGGCCATTCAAAATGAACATCCCCACCATGCTCAACAACACATCTAGCAAGCTCGCAAAAGCGATCAAGCAGCTTCAACGACAAGTCTCTCGACTTGGCCAATTTCTTTCTGAACTCTGCCCCATAGCGGTGTGCATTGAGGTACTGCCATTGGCTCCACGGGCCACAAGGAAGGCTAGCCCACAAATCAATACCTGGATGTTCACGAATGAAGTTCTTCAGGTGCGACGTGGTACTCTCATACTCTAAATTGTTCACCTCCTTGGTACAACGTGTGACCTTGACGTTCAACCTCTCACCAACAACACCTAGGTTGGAGTCCGGCTCGGTGCACAACTCCATGAGCATGCCCCGGCCTTTGAGGCCAGTCTGCCTTGAACGCTGCTTCACCGCGCTCGCAGTCAAACAGGTTGGGTCAGTCTGCATTTGTGGTTGTTCAAAACTCTCGAGCTCCTTCATCACCTCGACGGCCAGTGCCTCAAAGCGTTTTGCTATCTTGCCTTTATTGGCCTGGGCCTGTGTGGTGTAGAACTCAACCATGTCACGCATCATCACAACCATAGACAACTCACCACGCGGAAGCTTCTTCTGCCTCTTCTCAACAAGACGGGTCTTCTTCATGGCCTCCCACTTGCGACGTTTGTTGTCTTTGCGATGCTGCTTTCTTCTATGCTCTTTGTTTGTTTCTGTCACAACCAAACCCTCAACCGGCACCTCACACGCGCTAGAAGCTGCGATTTCCTGCTCTCCAACTTTCAAGCCTGCACCCTCCTCCGGGTAGATGGAACAAACACAAGCAGGAAGCCGCTCAAGGCAGTCTCCGCAAAAGCACGACTCAGGACACTCAGCAACAACAGCGGGCTGGTACAGCTTCTTGTTGTGGTTGAAGTTCAGTCCTTGTTGTGGCGCCCCTGACGCGCGCAACGAGAAGATGGGCACATCATTCTGAACCCTTCTCGCATACCAGCGATGTTCTGTGGGACACCATACCCTGCACTTCTTATGATCAAGAGCAATGAACGGAA